AACACCCAAATGTTCCTAGAACGTCTACGTAACGCGTCTCCTAATAACGCGTACGTGATGGAGTCTTTCGACGTTACCGCACTGTACACCAACGTGTCCAATTACTCCGCAATGCAAGCCATCTTCGAACTTCTTGCTGAACATGAAGGAAGAATAAATATGCATGGCTTGTCCATCCAGCAGCTAATGGTTCTGTTCTCTTAAAGGAATGCCTAAACTGCTCGATTTTCAGATGGTCTGGGAAATATTTCGCGCAAATAAGGGGTTGGCAATGGGACAGCGATTGGCACCAAGCCTTGCCATTGTGTTTATGTCTAAGATAGAAGCCCCTGTTCTCGATTTCCGGCCACTACTCTACTGCAGGTATGTAGATGATTGTTTTGTCGCCTTCTGTACGCAGGAGGAGATGGACAAATGCTTTGAATTATTGAACGAGCAGTCCGAGTACATAAAGTTCACCCGGGAGAAACCGAGAAAAAACTGGCTTCCGTTTTTGAACGTTCAAATAAAACAATTAAGTAGCGGTTACTTGACAAAGTGGTACCGAAAGCCAAGTAACAAGAACATCCTCGTTTATTTCCTTTCTTCCCACCCTTCACGCAAAAAGAGGGCGATTGTGATAAACATGTTTCGAACAGCCACCTCTGTGTGCACTACCAGGGAACTAAAGGAAGAATCGCGAGGCTTGGCTCGGCAAATAGCCATTTCCAATGGCTACGAAAAAGTAACCCCACGAGATAAGTTTAGAAGGAAAGCGACGCACCCACGCGAAACACTTGGCCAAAAGAAAGTCCCGTTTATGTTGCCTTTTATAAGCGATGAAGTAAGCGTAGTTATAAAATGATGCTTAAGAAGGGCAGGTCTAGAGGAATCGGTAGCGATAGTTGAAATACCACCGACTACTCTACGTCGTCAATTAGTTCGTAACCGCCTGTATGACCGTCTATGTGAAACAGCAAATTGCGTAATTTGCCCTTACGACAGGGACGGTGATTGCATGAGTTCAGGTACGATACACTTGATCTCTTGTAACAATTGCGGAGATGAATATATTGGCGAAACGGGCAGACCTTTGTGTATCCATATAACACCTAGATGGCAAACGAAAACTAAGACGAAGCACCCCACTAGGCACGCGTAGGATACAAAAGCATAGCGGAGACGATTTTGAAGTAAAAGTCAATATCCTTGCACAGGAGTCCAAAACACCAGCGCGAAAACTCCTTGAGGCTTTTTGGATCAATGCTAAAAACCCTACAATGAATAGCAGGGATGAATGCCCAGAGGTCATACGCGACCTGACACCGTATGCTCCCATCAATTTCTGATGTGGGATGTTGCAGTCATCAACAGTATGCGACTATAACCAGCTGTTCTAAACTTCCTCATTGGAAGTCACGAAAAAAGAGGTGGGTTTTTTCGAGAAGTTGTTGATAATGCAATTACCAGAGAGTTTTTCGTCTTTTTGTAAGTGTTATTGAAGCGTTTGGCCTAGTAGATTGTATATCAGTATACCCTTCCAGGCTCTGAAGAAGGCGATACTGCCGAAACGTCAGCTAGCGTTGTATTGTATTGTGTTTTTCTTTGAAAGTAAATGTATGCTGTTTAAAAACCTCGCGATTGCTGAACAAGAAAACGACGCATTCGTATTCCAATGCCGAGGTTAATAGAAAGTCGATCCTGAAAACTCAGAACCTCAGGTGGACTTCGAAGTAGTGTTTACTCTTACCAAGGGTTCACTTGCTATCCACCGCACTAACCGAAACCTTTAATTTTCCTTCTCTTGGGCCTATTTATAGTTTAGTTCAGTGTTATTTTGCCGATTTGTGCTTTCCAGATCAATCCCTTTGGCGAGGGTTTGCTGAGCACCGATAGAGTAAAAACATGGGTAAGAGAAGGGAAAAGCAAGTCCTCTATTGGTGTGGTGAGTAGCATGAGAGCCGTCGGTAAGGGTAATCGCGGGTTCGAATCTCAACAGAGATATGAATTATTTGTACAAACACAAGTGTATGGAAGATCTTTATTGAGCAGATGTGGAAAATGCCTCTGAATGACTATAATTTGGACATGTGCCTGGGTATTACTGGAAACAAAGGTGCTTCCCAGCCTTTGAATTCTATTTCCCCATAGGTAGGAGTACCAGCGGGTGAGTGAGAACTTCGAAACGGCTTCAATGGAGATTCTATGAAATACAAATATTTCGCATGAAGTTCTATGTGACGACTGTTAATTGTAAATGCAACCTCTATGTGAAGATTGTCCTTTCCGTGTATTCTGTATTTATAAGTTTTTGTTTTATTTCACTTTTTATTTCATACAACCCGTCCTCACATCTATTTTAGGAACCCTAGCACTTGCATTACATTCATTTACTGGCATCCATTATTAACGAAGGTCCTTGAACTTTTCACGTGTGAGTTTGGCTGGTGCTTAAGAATTGTCCTTATGAGTGTCACTAAATACTAATTGAGTCAATTATCCTCAGAGTCCCTGGATAGCAGCGTTACAGCATTCCTGCAACAAGGGTTCCTAAGGGTAAGTTTGCCCCAGACAGGGCTGGTACCAGTTGGGGTAGGGGAAGAAAGGCTTGATGAACATGGAGGTGAGTCTGTGAGTCTCGAATCAACACCATGCTTATGATGAACAGCATCATTATCGCTGCACTATTGTTGCTCGTAAGTTATATATATATATATATATATATATATATATATATATATAACATATATCCACGATTATATATATATATATATAAATCGTAAATTGTCGTCTATAAAATGAATGTTCTAGCCAGAACGTTCAAAACATCAGTGAAAGGTTATGATAATAAGACTTGATAAATATTTTGTGAGAATAGACCGAAAAAGTCTGCTGGTCATCTTATCATCTTATCATGAAAAGCCGTCTCAACTGTCGAACTCTAGTGTTCAAGAAGAGACACATCCCTGTGTCTGCGATGTTTACTGCATTAGGATACTATGCGGTTCTTCCACTTTACTCCCCTGCCTACGCTTGCATGGTATACAATGCATATGGGATGCAATGTGTTGACAAAAATTGTCGGTAGTTAACTAAGAATCGGTGATTGCATTAGAAGAACACTAATCATGTACGTTCTGTGGAATATTCAGAGCGTTCTCCAGTGTTTATTATGAACTCTTGGTATTGAAGAAGTAGCGAAGGTTTGAAACTAACAACTTACTGAAAACCATCCACGAATTTGGTGGTCTCGTGCCCTCGTATCCGTGAGATTCTGGAACAGTACGCATCGATGGTATTTTAGAATTGAGCGAACTATAAAAAGACGTAATTAAAATCCAGCGTATATCTACACTTTCATGGAAGACTTTATTTCTCTCTCGTCAATACTGTCATATAGCCTTCTACACTAGGGACCAAACACTTTTGATTTTCTTCCAGATATTAGACAATCGTCAACCTATCTCAAATGCCTATCAGCGTAGGCACTACTAGAAATTAGTTTCCTGAAACATAGAAGACCTACCTTTCTCTTAAACTAAGTCTGGAACTCCTTCGTTCTTTCTATCCACGAATAAATGAAAGCAGTCGTGGATTTATTTTATACAAAAGAAAACTCTGAGCTTGTGTTATTAAAAGTTGAGCTAACGATAAGAAATCCTCCCAAAGGTTTTTCGCCTCATCGTGGCTGGGAGGTGCTCGGCTATCGAATTAAGAAGGGTTCTGCAATAAACACATAGTTGTAGGTTGTATTTTCGGCTAGATACTTCATGATTCTTGGTAATGTCAAGTCGACCAGCTTTTAATGATTTCCTTGAAAAGAGAAAATATTTGGGTTGAATCCAAACTCCTAGGCAGAATACGCCTCCCAACGGTTCATCGCGTCGTCGTGGCTGGGAGGTGTTCCTGGGTGTCGGGCTCCGATGTCCAGCAGGGGGATTCGTCTCTCCGGCAGGATCTCCCAAGCTGAGAAGGAGTCCAGCGTTTCCATCAGGAAGCCTAGCTAAGAATAAACCAATACCGGGATCCACCACCGTCCTGGTACCAAAGTCGCATGGTGGCGAACCTCCCTCTGTTCCACAAAGGCTGCGACTGCCCGTGGGGGTGAAGACTTGGGATAGACCTTTGTCAGGCCGATCTCGGGATTGCAAGAAACCACAATGGCTTAACGAGCAAATCTCCGAAAAATGGAGATTATGCTGGGGGCCGTACAACCAGTGAGGATGGGCCACTCAAGCACTAAGTATCAAGTAACGATAGGGAATAATGGGCCCTTGGATGACCACTGCAGGAGTTTACTTCTGCGTCAGAGTTGGCAAAGTATCCGCAGGGCACTGACGAAGACTATTTCTTCTTAGCTTTCAGGTATCGTGTAAGGCTCCTTTGATTTTGTTTTAAATATTCAATGTCCGTGTGCATTTCTATATAGAATATTTTTTGGAAAGGTGGATATTTTTTCAACTTCGTGTCACTTTCTGCTACTAAAATGCAAAGACAACTTGTCATTGTGTTCTGACAGTCCTCAATTTTTTCTTTTTCAACGAATCGTCCAGGTTTTCCTGCTTGCTTGTAATGACGGACACTGTGCTATCCGCCACCTGCTTGTACTCATAAAGGATAAAGGATGGAGCTCGCGGAGTTGATCAATCGCTGAGGAATAAGCCATACATTCGACTTCATTAAGCATCGTTGGAGGTGATTGAATGCATACCTTGCCTTTACAATGACTCGCGATGGTCTACCGATTTATCGAGCAAGTGCTGCTATCCTCCCGTATGGGTCTGCTATCAATTTGCCGACTGCGGAGGGATGGAAAGTTTGGTGAGCCAGTGGCGCGGAATCGATCCCACGTGTGTTTCGGGGAACATAGGCTGTTGTATTAGAGGTTAAAAACAAATAAATAAACAAATCGGTGTTATTATGAGGAGAGCGCAAAATTCAGTTTTTAACGCCGGCAATAATTTGGGAGTTGAGACTAGTTTAGTACCGAAGTTTTTTGATTTTCTAAAAGAAATTTCTTGATGGAATTAGCAAATGTAGTGCTTCCAGTGTTGATTCAGAGTTTGGCATTGAATAATGTGGATACCGGTGAATGCATAACGAGGTGGATTGGGCACGATGCAGAAGTCACAAAGGTGAATGACTTATCGAAAATCCAATAACTATTGTTTTACAGCACAGTAGAAGGAGTTATGTCCCTTCTACCTAAAAATCTGATCCTCTTTGTTTGAACCCATAACTAGAACTTTTACCAATGAAATCACTTCAACAAAGTTCTTCTTAGCTCGCTTACGGAAACACTGTTGGAAATCACTTTGTGCTGAGTGGTTCCAGGGACCAAACCATTAAACTGTGGCAGTTTCACTCGCAGAATCCGCAGAAGAGCTTCGAGGGTCATTCTTTAGGAATCACAGGCCTTTCGATGATTACTGGTAAGTTGGAGACAAAGATTCGTATTTTCTACAAAGATAAATGCATGACCCGTTCCAGAGAATACATTCGTGTCTGGATCTCGAGACACTACCCTGAAGATCTGGGACGTGGAAACAACGAGACGAGCTCTGCGAAGCGCTCAAGTGAATCGAAATCTGGCAAGTTTTTATTGCTCATTATTCAAGGAACACGATCTATTCAGGCTAATTTGGCTTTTTTAAGGTAACACATCTCACTTTTAGTGCCCATTGCAATGTGATTGCCCAATCATCGGAGGACGAAGAAGTAAAGTACGTGAATAGGGGTGTAAACGTTTTACAGTAATCCTTCTAGTGTTGATCTCCTCATCGAATAGTCATTCAAGTATCGACGATATCAAGAAACATAAAGTATATTCGTGCTCCGTTCATCGAATCCTTAACTCTTTAAAACTTTGGAGTTCTATTTAATACTGGCCTTTTTCACAATAGTGTTAATATTCACAAAAAGCCAATGCCGCCTCCTTGCAGCGCCAAGAAAGCCGCCGGAAGACTGCTGTCTACTAGGTACAACTGTACAAGTTGTTTCTTTGCCATAACAAGCCTTGCTATTAAAGGAGCAGTTGCCGTTTTTCCCCTAAGTTCGTCAAATTGTTTTCCTCGTCCATCAAATTTTGGAAGCGATTAAACAAATATATAGACAAAAGTACATTTATCTGGAATATCAGTACCACGAATCAGTAAACAACACTAGTGAAATGAAGATATCCTTACAGAATGTGGGACCCACGGAACCTCGAACTGGTGGCTGAACTTCCGCGGAAGCATCACATTCAACTGCACTGCGAGTTCATCGACGACACCACGCTCGCGTCCTCCAGCAGTGGTTTCAATGGCGATGGTTGTGAAATTTCGGTCCGTTGTATTGCTTTGCTACTTTAGAGTCGGGTATAACAGACGCAGTAGTTCTCAATAGCGGATGTCGGAATAAGACAAATCGCTCTATTGTAGTACAAATCCTAGGACGCTCCGCATCTTCTAGGTAACGCTAAGCTGGGATGGATGTCGGGTGAAAACAACTCGTTTCAATAAGGTAAATAAAGGGTGTCCAACTAACGCTAAAGTTGCTCACCATCACTCTGACGGTTCTGTAGCCGCATGTATACCGGGACAATTTCGATTATCTTATGGTGTAACAGTGACTGTTGTGTTTGTCAAGAAGTTTCAGGTTAAAAGTACTGTTAATATTTACTGCTAGCAATCTGATAATGAACTTTCAGATCTGGGATTTGCGTACGCGCAAGTTGTTGCGGGAACTTCGTGGTCATGAAGGCTCGGTGACGTGCGTCATCGGGCTCACACAGCAAGTCACAATGAAGAAACTTCTGATGAGCGTCTCAGTGGACCGGACAATTCGTATATGGAACATAAACGAACCAGGTAAGGCTAAAATTCACCGTTGGTTACTTCGTTTTCCCACTCAGGGAATCGGAATAGTAAGTGAGAAGATTTACCATTCTTCTCATTCTCCATGATAAGTTGGTTTCTTTGGACTGTGTAGCACATGCATTCATTTGTATTATAGTCTGCAAATTGGCGCTGACGTCATTAATTGTTGTTATTCTTGTTGATTACCTATTTATTCGTGTGGCGTAGTGGTCGGAGGCGCCCTGCAGCACACACATGGAATCGATCCTCACGCCCATAGCCCATCAAGCGTTCCGTCCCTCCAGGGTTGGCAAATTGGTACCAGACTTATCTAGGAGGATAGCAGCACTGGCCCGATATATCGGTAGGCAACCGCGAGTTATTGCAAGGCCCAGATATGCATTCAATCACCTCCAAACGATGCTTGGTGAAGTCGAATGTTTGGCGCATCTCTCATGGGTTGATCAACGCCGAGAGCGTTGTCCTTTTATTCATCTTTTTGCCTATTTAACCGTATATACGCTTAGCTTTAATCAATTGTTCTAAGCTTTCCATCTAGTCGCGGTTAAGCAAGCAAATAGTGAATGCAGACTTGTTTACTAGGAGGATTCCATGTTCTCTGTTAGAATTGGGGTTACAGCTGTCAACTCTACAGCGAGCGAAAATAATGACGTACGTGTTCCTTCGAGAATTAGCAACGTCATCAATTTCGTCTGCTCTAGAGCTTAACCGTTGTTCATCTAGTGTTGAAGATATAATTTTATACTATTGAATATCTAACCAAAGCCGCTCTATTCAGAATATTGCGCTGTCCTCAAATTTAATTTACGTATGCAGCTGTGACAGCGGAAGTCTGCTCTGTTGACCACTTTGAATGAAAAAGAACTTATTTAGTTAAAATAGTATTTCGAGCCGAAAAAGGTTGTTTAAGAAGCGGTCCAAAGAATATATGACATGAAAGAGGGATAACCTGGTGCAAACCAACGCCAATAATACTAAACAATAATTGGCATACCACAACTATGCTGAGATATTCGCAAAACTCAGACCCCAGGCCGTATCGGGCAACGATTTCTCTTTCCGTGAACTAGCTCATTCCACACTGCGCCACTGAGGCCGTTGATCTACGTTTCTGGCAGCTAGTTTTCTATCTACCAATGCTATCAGCCCTAGTAAGCAGTCAATAAAAAGTAAACATTGTATTTCGATTATACCCTCAGCTTAATTGGACTCAATACCGATGTGGGGTACCTAGGTCAATCCTCTTGACGGCTGATTTTTGAGGGCATTGGTAGATAGAAAACTAGCTGAAAGAAACGGGACCTCAGTGGCGCAGTGTGTAATCTGTGAGTCACCAGAAAGCAAAATCGTGGTTCAATTTGGTCCGGGGTCCACCTTTTGCGAATACTTCAGCATCGTTGTGGTTGATTTCGCATAATATCTTGCTGTGAAAATTGTAGGAGGCAGTAAATAAAGAAGTAAACATTATAAATGATCTGTTACGGAAGTGATTCCGAGTTTCAGTTTGCGTTTGGACCGAGGCGGTAACGACCGACGCCGAGCTTCTGCAGTGCGTGTCATTCAATGACGGGCAGTACGTCGCAGAAGTTTTTTCGCCTTTATTTTTTCTGTTATTCATATTCAGTACCTTACGTTAAGTTAATGCTCGTTATCTTTTCAGTGTAGTTGTTTCCGGAGGAAAAGGGTTTCTTGCTCATATCCGAATTCAAGGACGCGCTGGCAAGCCGTACTTTCAAATGCTGTCCATTCAGAAGGAAATGGTCTAGAGTTTGTAAAGCTAATGAAGCTTTATTCGGACGGGATTCAGCTGAAGTGATATGTGGACGATTTCAAAGCAAATTTGTTTTAAAAAATAGAGATTGCCGAGAAATCGCATCATTCGCAGACTTCACGCTTTGGTGGAAAACTAGGGTGCTACTCATGCGCGTTTCTTTCCATGTGGGATTACTATTCTTAATGCTTCCTTCATTCCTCCATAAGACCGGTCATTAGCGAAAGAACAGTGTCTGCGAAACGCAGATGCAAATAGTATTTGTTATCTTCCACATTTATTAGAAGTCTGCATACCTACATACAGATCATGACGTCGAAAATGTACGGCGACCTTTCTTCCACATGAGTGGAAACGGTATGCAAAGGAACTGGTCGGCCCATTTTTTCTAACATCCAGCACTTGCTTAGATATATTACAGAGAACTACAAATAGGCACAGAATATGTGAACGTAAATTTGTCCATAAGGAACAATTTTAATAGGACGGTACAATTTCTAGACATCACAATACAATCGCTGTACAATTATTCCCATGAAGAATCTTTTGAGGATGAATCGAATTGTTTGCCATTTTACTGTAAATTAAAACTAGATAAGTCTCTACCGTAGATTTTAACGTTCTTCTAAGTAATCCATGAGCTAAGGAATCTAAGAAAGGGATCAGAAGGTAAGTGATTTTCACTGGTGTATCTCAACACGAATTCAGGATGGTCCACTCAGTCCCAGCTATAGATGTGTTCTCAAGAACTCTTTGGCGTACGATAATACGCTGAACTTAATGTAACAAAACTTTTCTCTATAATTACAGAAAACAATGGCCCTAAGGTTACATTAGAGAGCATCCTTTTCGTTTGGTCTCCTTTCCATCGGGATCATCCATCGTAAGAGCTAGTGTGCGCTTTTTTTCTAGCGCGAGAAGCTGTTGAAAAAGTTCCGTAATGTTGTCGTTGTTCTTGGCACTCGTCTCGATGAATCCGGTTCCCCATTTGTCAGCCACTTTTGCTCCCGTCTCCTTTGTCACTTCTCTTCTCTGAAGGTAAATTTAACCATAAACATTACAAAAAAGCTTCCTAGTATAGCTCTTTATCCCTCCGAGAATATTCAAGAAGCTAAAACGGTTAAGAAAAGCTCAAAAACGAAACATTATTTTCTAAAAGCGCTCGATTTGATAACTGAGTTCCTATTTCGTTGAGGTGCTGACTCACGGTCTGTCCACAATATTCGGCTGGTGAATCAACTAATGTTTTTTATTAAAAATATTAAATAGTCCCAGATATGTACAACCTATGAGTGCATTCCCAGACAGTAAATAAGTAATAAATAAGTAGTTTGTCCTTCAGGTTTTCCTCATAAAAGGAGCTTGCTGGTTTACCTGAAGTGTATGAGAAACGAGGGTTGTTGTGCTTGCTCTGTTTCTAGCACATCATTTTTGGAAATAACTAGAATGCTTGCCAGTGAGGAAAGACAAACGCGATATAGCCAATTCATGTCGGCTTATGAAAAGCGATAAATGATTTATGGCGGCTGTGATGTGGCCATGACACGAACTTCTGTTCACGAGACCTACGTGGATCATGGAAGACTACGCACTGTTAGCGTCGGGGTCGTAAGTCATGGGATAAAGCTGCATATCAGATCTATTACAATGTACAGTGTTCATTCACCTCTCTGTCGTCACTTTTATTTCCGACCAGCATGATCGGCACATCAGACAAACTGCTTCCCTTGACTTCCATCAACGTTTTAACTATTGGCGCCAGTTCTTCAAGTGACTGCTTACTGAAAACAGTACTGTAGTGTGAAGATCGTTCACTTTTTGTTTGTTCTGTTAAAGAATAAATTACATTCATCTATGCCGAACTCATCACATAGATGATCAAACATATCAAATTCAACTACGAAAATAATTGGCGTCTAACCAGTGTCTAATTTTTAACCTCTCACAGGTCCAAAAAAATATCGAATCTTTTGTCTCAGAGGGGTGTTTTCATTTCAATTTATGCACCTATTTCCCAGCCAAACATAACCTCAGGAAATCTACCGTCTCATAAACGCGAGGAAGTGTTTCTGATCTTTGATTTGCGATGAATAATGCAGGTTCATATGCAAAAATACCATTGACCGAAAGATATCGCTTAGTTCTATGACAATTATCTCAATCTTTTGTTAGTACAACAAATAACTCGTCTAGTAAAGAAACGGGTCAGATGTTTCAGGATAGACGTCGGAAATCCTGGATAACGGTATTGTCCGAGTGCAGTGCAGGCTACGTTGTCTTCCACATAACCTTGAGACCATGGTTTCATCAGAAGTTCGTCCTATGACATCCCTCCGAAACTACTTTCTAACCTATTTTCTGAATTTGTTATCAGCGGAAGCAAGTCGTCAGGTGAAAAGAAAATCTACGGAATAAATTCGTCTTCCAGCTGAATTACAAAAATTTCCAGAAGTTATCCTCGGAGTGCTTGTATCCACATTGAAGAATTGTGTTGATTCGTTGCCGTAGCCATAAATGATTGAGTAGGGCACTGATCAACTCATGGCTGACGCCAGAAAGAAGGACAGCGAGTCTTCGTCCGCCTTCGCAGTGGTTGAGTGAGAAAAATGGATCGTGGGACTCGAATGTTAGGAAGCGGTCCCTCTTTGCTCTGCTCTAAACGTTGTTTTTGATCTTCAGGCTGAAGGAATAAAACTAAGTAAGAGCATATACAGTTGTAAATGCCGTCACATAAATTCTCTTTCACGGAATAGAAATGATGTTAGTCACCTTACTACGACCAATGTTTCTATAAAGCTTACTAGATCGCTGGAGACGTCTTTTTATAAACCTTTACTTGATAGGAATTCTAAACAAAAAAAGAAGTATCCTGTTGTAGAGCGAATTGTTAAGAGCAGGAAAGGAGAGATGCTGTGAAAACTGAGCATCACACGACAACTGCTGAAGTTCTCTACGGCTTTTGTACTACGCTGAAGCACACAAGCATGTTTTCGATCCAATAAGACGGCCACGACTTTAAGCTGGACTGCCAATTACACTTGGTAGTTTCCATTCTAATGGTGAGACTGGAATGACTATTCAAAAATCTTCGTGACGCCGTGCTGAGCCTTATCTTGGATCCTGAATTGCCTATGATTGCTTCCAATCTAGATATATGGCTGCCTATCAGTACCTCTTGAGATTTAACAAAATTGGGACGAATGTACTTATCGCTACGGTAAACAATTTTCTCCAAAACTTCCTCAATATCAGCATTTAGTGCTATAAAAATAGGCTCGGTTGATAAAACCGGTAAATTAACACGAGCCTGGAGATGCTGACTGTAAAAAGGAAACGAGAAAGTGAAAATAAGCAATTTCCGGGTTATGGGTAATGGCGCGTTCGATCCCCACCGCAGACACTTGAAGTCCGGAGTTTTGCAAATGTCCCAGCATCACCGTAGTTGTATTTCACATAATACCCTGCCGTGAAAGGTTGTAGTAGGCAGTAAATAAAAAGTGATTACATTAAGCAATTTCACTTTGAATGCGTCCTCTTGGTTGAGGTACAATCTCATTTCACATGTTCCTTTTTTCCGTGAGGAACAAGAAATCCGATGACAATATCATTAAAGTGCGCTAACACGCTATGGGCAATTCCAAAGGCTAATTCACAGAGCACAAGCGTTTTGAAATATGCAGAAGTGAGGTTCGAATTATTTAGAGGCGAACGTCATTGAAGCTCACGCGAGAATGACAAGGTTCGACGGCAATTCTAACCAGAAACAAGGATGAATAATTTACATACAACGGTGTTATTACACCATTCATTCACAATGGCTGACGTTTGACATATTTCGCATTCTTCAGAGCTGGACAGATAAGTTGATGTGCAATGATGGGTTATGTTGTAGATAAATCACTTCGTTCAGGGCAACCATGAGATAACTAGCTCGAAAAAAACAGGAGAACATCGTTACAGATATGTTTGTTACGGAATAAACATAGAAATTATTTAAAGCTTTCAAGACTTTAGAAGAATATAGCTCCTCATACGACAATATCACATTTAGAAAAAAGGGCATGGGTAGCGCAGTGGTCGGAGACGCCGTGCAATACATATAGGACTGATCCCCGCCGCCTGGGCTCATCAAACCCTCCATCCCTCTGCAGCCGGCAAATTGGTGCAAATTGGTACATGTCAGGGAGGATAGCAGCAGTAGCTCGACACATCGGTAGCCGACCGCAAGTCATTGTAGAGCCCAGATATGCATTAAATCAACGATGCTTAAGAAAGTTGATAGCATTGGCAGATCCCTCAGGTATTGATCGACGCCGAGTGCTTCATTTTTTCTATACTACATTCTTCTCACTGACACCTCGTTTTCCGCTCGAAAGCACCGAATTTACTCCATTGCTTCTTCCGTATCCGATATAGGCAACCTATTCACACGTGAGCGGCACAGAAAGGAAGCCACCTAACCCTAATTCACTACGATGGTTTTCTTTTCCCTAGATGCAGGCTCATGTTTTCCTTTCTAAGAAAAAGAAAACGGTTCGTCGTTGTGGCGAATGACAACCGCCTGCGGGGAAGCCGTGTAGACTTACAAATCTCTGATTTTCATTTAAATTAAATATATTAATAGGGCGATGTAGTGCAAGAATAAGTGAACTCTGTGCTTCTACGAAAGAAACCATCTACACCTTTTTTCCTTGTTATCCGAAATTTTCCAAAATTACTTCATTTTAGCAAACTTTTCACATGACCCGATGTCACTTAATATCGTCTACGCTCAGATTTATGGGGAGTTTTTTTTACAAACCGAACGAACTGTGAATTTGCTGATAAAATGTATTTTTTCCTAATAAACCATCAGCTTTGCGCTGTTCTCCTTCTAAGAGGATGTGAACAACAAGAAAAATCAGAAGTTTCACATAAGACCTATACGTTTTTGCCTGAACTGACTTTCCTTCCCGCTTATTTCCTTCTTTCTTTTTATAACTTGTAGAACTTTCCAGGTAAACCGTTTGCTATTTATAAACAGTAGAAAAGTGGGTTTATTCGACTTATATTTGAAAACGTGCTCCAGTTATGTCCTCTGGTCTTTAAACCCTTATAACTTCTTCCCAAATCTTTTTTGAGCTGAAGTTATTTCATATCTATCAACATTCACTTTTCACTCAAGCAAAGTTTTCAGTTAAGAATTACCAAATCCACGTGTGCTGCACACTAAACATCTCAGAACATTTGTTTAAAATAGGGTAGTTCGGAAATAAAAGAATAAAGGATAAAGCTGTCGGCGTTGATCAATCCCTGACAGACGTGCCATGCATTCGACTTCATTAAGCATTGTTAGAGGTGATGAAAAGCCGCGGTGGCCTACTGATGTATCGAGTCAGCGCTGCTATCCCTCCAGACGGATATGGCACCAATTTGTCAACTCCGGAGGGATGGAACGTTTGGTGAGCTTAGGGCGCGGAATCAACCCCATGTACTACAGGGCGCCTCTAACCACTGCACTACATGCACCTTTCCAAGCATTGCAACGAATAAAAGCTATGCTCAGAATATGTGATTCGTAATGTCGGATTGTGACATAAATAAGCGATTCGGATAAACGAGAAAAGTGGAGTAGTCGATAAGAGTACAATTTACTTGCAGACATAATGACGAAGTTCCAGCTACAGAGAACGAATGTTATTGGTAGCAAGAATGAATATTACTTGGAGAAATGGATGGGACATCAATTTTTAATAAGTGATCTTCTATACTTAGAAATTAGTTTGCTATTTTAGGCGTTAGGGAAGCGGAGAATAAATGAGACATTGGAAAGATAGAGGCAGACAGGGTCAGAGATAGAAGAGAGAAGAAAGTTTATTTTATCAAATGGCACCACTTCTCTTCCTCTTAGTGGTTCATGGTCCATCTAACCGTAGTTGGAGTTATTTTGGGTGTCAAATTACGGTGCACCAACTAGTTATTCATTGCTCACTAAGGCCGCCCACTGGATAGATAAAAGTAAATAATGGCGAAAATCGGCGCAATATTGTAGGTAACCTAGCTGTAAAGTGAAAAACTTTAACTGGGTCTATAGAGACTGGCAATCACTCATGATTATAAGCCACTGCCAGTGTCTTGAAATATCAGAGAGATGGAAAGGAATTACCTGAAACCTTCTAATTACTCGTGAAAACGATCCATCAATTATTGAGAACAACCCGAAAATCCTGTGCTCTTAACGCATTATTTCATTTCTGCCACAGTTTGTCAGAGTCTTCTTAGCGAATCGAGTCAGCAATTATAATAGTTTGAAGGCTTGAAAGTAATCAACCTGGACTGTTATGGCTGATCCACAAACCTCGTAACCGAATAGATTAAGATAAAAGCGTGTCCTTTAGAAATTGATAGTCGCTGCATGGCCGGAAACTGATGACTTCCGGTGGTGTCAGTGATTTGCAATGTGCACACATTCTTCTGATTACAGCTGATTACCTATAATACTGATTATGTTCTGTGAATTAATGGGATCTTGCTGTTTTTCCTTCTGTATAAAAATTTCTCGTATATTTTCGTTACTACAGAGATGAAGAAGATGAAAAGGAAGTAAAGAAAATACGACTGGCTGGTGCAAATAGAGCAAAGTGTTCTACGCGTTTTCAGTTAGACAACTCCCTTACAAAAAATTTAAAGATGTCGACCATTTTTCACAATAGGCGGTATGTATGGTAATAAGGATATTTTAGAAGCATGCAGTCTCGCTGTCGAAAGTCTTCTGTGATACACACGGTTGTCGGTTCAATTCCAAGCTTTGAGAGAATAAAATGAGTAGAAGATGTTTATTCAAACTATTGCGTGGTGCACTCTATCCGGAGACAAGAAAGCTCAAAAGTTCGTATTTGATTGTGGATATAATTTTGTATTTTATATTAGGGATAGATTTTGATAGTGACAACCCGTTTCCCTTAAAGCGAAGCTGCTCAGCTGAACTGAAGCTGGCTTGCGCCTCGTTATTCATAATCGTATTTGTCTTAGGAATGGAACTCTATCCCTACGGCCTCGCTTTTGTTTTCCACACTAGGGCTGTTATAGTAATTTCATTCAATGTGTGTGTGTGTGTGTGTGTGTGTGTGGTGTGTGTGTGTGTGTGTGTGTGTGTGTGTGTGTGTGTGTGTGTGTGTGTGTGTGTGTGTGTGTGTGAATGAGGGAAGTGAGAGAGGTAGAAATTCTGGAAACGTAAAACAGCACAAGAACGATGAAAGAAAAAACTCAATAGCCCACCTAAAGCTTGAAGAGAAACCGTGGATCGATGACGAGCACAATAAAACAGTCTGAGGAAGACAGAGGAGCAGAACCTCTTTAAGAAAGCCTAGCATCCATTTTCTATTTGTTTTATACACATTATACTTCCATGTGATTTCTGTGCGGTTGGTCTCTACGTGACATACTTAGTGGAGACCTCATAGAAAGCGGCTCTGAGGAAGGCGAAATCCGCCGAAACGTCAGCTTATTCGTGAATAAGGAATAATAACACCTCGCGTTTGCTCAACAAGAATACGAAGAATCTATTTGTTTTGTTCCTTTTTTAAGAAACTGGGCATCTTCATTTTATGCGTGGAACAAAGTTTTCAGTACCAAATAACCTAATGACTATGACAAGATTGCTGAGATATTTGCAAAATTCCGGACCGGCAGGTGTCTGTGATGAGGAACGAACGCGCTATTGTCCTTTCCGGGGAGTAACGCGTTCACCACCACACCATGCGGGTCCTTCGTTTCGTCTGTCTCTCACATCACTAATGACTATGCTTTCCATGAATGATCTACCACAGCCACGCCTTTGTTCTTAATTGGACGGCTTCCAAAACGTAATTATCGTCGGCTAAGAACGGCCTAAACATAAGGATGGAACAGTTATTTCTTCACTCACAATTACCTAATGGAGCCAGAAAAAATTCGCCAAACTTGGAAGAGACTGGTGCAATAAAGAATTGCTATGTTGTTTCCAACACACATTAAGCTTTGATCGTTCAGAAATGAAGAGATGGGTACAGGAAATGAAGAACGAATAGAATACGCTGAAAAACAATATCGTCCAGCAAGATTGATTTTTGTTTTCCCACCTGCCTATAAGTGTCCTCGATTGTCGGAACATAGTTATCCGAAAAGGTTCCCTTGACAAATCGTTGAACGATGGAAGATTTGCCGACGCCACCAGCGCCGAACACAGCGACGCGATAGTCGGAAGACGCCGCATCGCCGATTCGGCCTCCCTAAGAGAAATATCTCTAAGCAGAAGCGTTACATAACGGTGTACACGAGGGACACAAAGGAGGAAGGACAGGTTAATTCACAATTTTCGAATCTCTTTAGATCTGTACAGTACGTAATCAAGCATCTTCACAGATAAAGTCAGGAGCACAGAATTGAGAAAGTCAACCAAAATTTACAGAAGCACTAGGTAAATAGCTGAGCGAAAATCGGCAAATTCTTGGCAAAATTTTCGAATGAAGCGAAAAACCTTTAACGAAAGCCTGGATAAAAAGGAGGACAAAATGATTTATAACTCACCGAAGCGGAAGAGTTTGCCGTGTCCTCAATGCTGAATGACGTTTATTCTGAAAAGAAAGGCGTGAAAAGCACATAAGCAAAAGCGAGTGGACGGCTGTAAACGTCGACATCGGCATGGATATCCGCTGAGGTGGAACAGATGGAAATTTGAGTGACACATGGAAATATTGTTTTTGAACGATAACTGAGCTTGGTGAGGAAGATGAAGTTACTGTGAAAAATGTGTGGTGCAGCTAATAAGTGAGTGGTCCGTGGGCCGAAGTGGATTCTTAGGGTACAAGAGATAAAATTCTAGCAAAAATTTAAAATACTGTTACGAAACGTATCTTGATGCTCCCAACGTTAACGAACAGGGAAAACGGTGACTATGTGGGTGTGATATTTTACCTTATAAAATTTCCACAATAAATGTCAACCGTCGATTTTCCGAGATATTACCTATCATTTTTTAATGTCATGGAATGTTGAGCTAATAAAATTTGAATGGAATCGAAAAAGCGAAAATGCTGGAATTGCGCAACGTTCCTACAAATATTGCAGTCCCCGTGGAGCGGAGTATATTCTTTGAAGAAGAAAGAAGATGAGCAGATGAAGGAATAAATTGAAGTTTATGCGAAACGCTGTAGGATTGTGGTCAGATGAGACATTAGCATCTCTTCACTTACGAGGCTTTGAGAAGACTCAACAAATCCTTGCAATCCTTTATGATGAATGCGAAATTCAGTTTTTCAATAAGAAAAGAGCGCTTCAAGTTTCCACAGGGAAATAGTAGAGAGAGCGAGCACGTTTGAGTACATTTGCGTGGCCTGACGAAGGTCTATAGACGACTTAGTGGAAAGAAAACCTTCTGATTAGTTGCTTAGTCGTTAAGAATATTTTGATGACTTCCAGCATGAGTTGGCCCAAATGTAATCCTTTAAACTCTTTCTGTCACGCTGCATTGTTCCCTAGCATACACTGCTTGCTAAAAATAGCCGAAAAACGTCATATTATTGCACAAATAGGATAATGTTATCGTTTTAGAGTTTTTATGACTAGGACGGTTTCGGCATGGAGGCTGAATGTATTTACGGAATAGATGTATGGCGCTGTGACGAACTCGTTGGCGGGGACCTGGAACGCCCATGTGTGTCTCCCACTCATTTGATTGTGGGCGGCTTTTGCTTGGAATTAACATGAACGGCATAATCGGCACACAAGCTGCATGCATGGCCACCAGCGTTCTCATGAATATTCCTATTCGCACACGAGAGGTATAATCTACTCGAAGAAATCTGGATATGCAGCCCATCCAACGAGGTCACCTGTGTCTCATGGAGTGAATATGGTCGTTGTTTTGCCCGCATCTAACGCCATCGAATCCACCTGTGAGTGTGCCATGTAGGCTCTCAGCTAGCCACTTCAAAACCAACTTTCCTTCAACCTCAGTATGACTAATCAACAAGTATTCTTTCTATGTTAAGCCTACATGAGGTTGATAAACAATTTTTATTCGGCTAACGTTTCGATGTCTTGAATAAACCAGCTGGTTCGAAATTCCTCATACAAGAAGGATTCAAAGATTCCCGATATTCTAACATACGGTTAAAATGAATTTTTTGGATCGCAGCGCATTAAACTACTCCTTTAGAGCAGTTCGAAACTTGGCAAGTTTCTCCTAAAGTCGCGAACTCAGGATGTGTTTTATGCAAGACGTTTCATTAAAAATAGTAACCTATTCAAAGAGAAAAAAGCGGGAAATTTCCATTAGATGATGAAAATAATCGCATGCTGCCTTAAAAGATGAAGCTCAGAAAGTAGATAGAGGAAATAGAATAGCGCGCTACGAATCGGAATCTCCCAGCAGGGTTGAGATATGGGCATCAGAATATTCAAGTCAAGGATTTTTAACATATCTGGTTGTCAGATGTGAATTGAGAAAATGACGTAGCCTTTTGATATCGGACTGGTTAAATGTAGTTTTCGACTAGTCAAAGCTACAACCGAAAGGAAATTGTTTGCTTTATATCACTGACGGAGACGTACATTAGAGGATTTGAGGCAATGGGAAATATTTTCATAAAACTGGAAAATAAGTTTTCTCCCCACGTAGTAACTCCTAAAAAAGTGGGTGTACAAAAGTTGGGATATTATTGCCATTCAAGGAAGCAACTTTGTTGTCTAGTAAACTCCAAGAATTTCACCTAAAGCTTGCTTCACGCGGAAGAGTGGATTTGAAGGGCATTAGCAGTTAGAGGTGAAGAGATTTTTTGTGCTGGAACTGCCGCAAACGACTTACCGTTGACAAGACTCTCGTGCGAGATACAAGCAGTTTCGAGAGACGTGAAAACGGTAAAGCATAACGCTTAGAGAATGAAGATAAGGAGAAAAACAATCAGAAATGCTTTAGATGTCATAAATTTCTCCTCAAGAGGTTGGCGAGTTTGCGTATATATATATATATATATATATACATATATATACGTATATATATATGCATGTATGTGTATATGTGTGCATGTGTGCATGTATGTATGTACAAATGTATGTGTTTATGCATGTATATATATATGTATCTATGTACCATTATATATGTACATAAATACATGCATATGCCTAGGGATCTATATAAGTGCAGGGGCAGGTTGTGCTCGGGCGAAACGATGGAGTAGCGCCTTGTGCTCCGAATTGGCTGGCGTGAATAGCATGCGGCGGCCGAGGCGACCACACAGAATGCATGCGGAGTCGAATCCGAAGGTCCGACGTTGAACCCGTCTCCCTCCTCCCCCAGTGAAACGAATCGATTCGAAGCGCGTAAGCACTGCACGAACTCGTAGTGTCGCTAGCTAACCCTGCCTACGACGGTGAGAAGTACCTACTGGCAGTACTCTGTAAATCCTATGAGATTTTGCCGAAACGTGTGCCGCTCTCATCAGATCCTCTTCGAATCTACTTCGAGTGGTTTAAAATATCAACGTCCAACTTTCAATATGAGGTCGATGCTTCAACACAGAAAGGCAATACGTCATTTCAATCTCATACAATGTCTTCTAAAAGAGACCATGAATGAATTTCTATTGTCAGAACATTGCATCTAGCTTTTCTCTTGGTTATGCTAGAATTTTAGGTAGAAGGTTTCAAAACCATCCTTCTTTTGAAATGCACGTATAATTCGCGTTCATGATAAGGCCATTGAGCCATGTGGTGCATCGACGAAATTCTCTCTATGGGGACATAGCCAGTGTTTCCAGAAATCTTTTGCTTTTCTAAACTTCGTATACCGACGTACCCCGTTGAGAACCCACAGCGAGAAATGCAATAAGCAAAAAGTCATCTTGCTCGTAAAAACAACAAGGCGAGATTGAATGGCTTTCGACGGAGTTCGTCATTGCAGGAAAACTGTTCCATAGCGATTCGACGTGCTCTGGAACTCGGAGAGCAGCAGTGCCGCCAATCGAATGTGACGCCCTTATTGCATCGGACTACGGCCGTTCTCAGCTGAATTCTCAGCTATCACCTGCTTCGGCATCTCTGTCGACAAAGCGCGCTGTCACGGATCTCCCCAGAACACTTCTTTGTTGACTGCTTCACCTCAGTGCCTCACTATTTTTGTTGCATCAAAATGCCATGGCTGGATAGCGAAGACGCTTCTGCCTACTGAGGCTTATCAAAGGCTATTCAGGCAAATATTTATCGGAATAACGATAATCCCACTAACCACTCATTTAATTTGATGGCGTAGAGAATTTCTATGAGCAGGTGCTCAAGGTGTCTCATGTCGTCATTTAATAGCAAAAAATCATTGTTTTAATTCTGAATATGCGCTAAGTTTCTGCAATCATCACACAGTTGGGAAACATTGCTGTTGAGAGTAGAAGCTTTTGACAAATTGAGAGAGAGACAATGAATTTAATATTCATCCATCCATTTGCTATAGGCGTTCCGGTTTTTCTATGACAATGAATAAGTGATGCCAGGAAGAATACAATTAAAAAGCAAGCACCATCGTAATCTTCAGTCACTTATGTCAGTCGAGTAGTAGTTATACAATGCAGAAAACCTTTTGAGATGTGAACCATAAGAATATTCCTACTACTGGAATGTCTTCCAAAAGCTTGTTCTATCTAACTAACCTAGCTACTGGGTATTTTTCAAGGGACGGCGTTTAAGCTCTTCGTGAGTGGCATGCAAATTCATCCAAATGATTGAGATTTTAAATCGAGGCTAAGTTGCATAGCTCCTTCGTTGAGCTTTCTTTCGTAGTCAACAGGAGTGGGACTAGGTAGGTGATGTTTTCAACAGATTTTTGTGGCCATGAGTTCGGTTTGATGGTGATCCAAGATGCTTGCTCAGCTTACTGAGCCTCATCCAAAGTGTTTGAGGTACTTGACGGAATGACTTCGATCACATTTCTTGTGCTGAATGGCCACGCTTTAATTGCTTCACTTGCCATTGGTTTTCCTTTTTTGAAGAAGTCCGAAACAACTTTCCACAAGGGGATTTTAGTTTTGGAATGAAAGCTGTGGAAATGATGAGCATGGATTGTGTCGAGCAGGTATGAGAGCGCTAGCTGATGAATACCTTGTTTTGGAACACAGTATGTGAGTAAATGGGATCGGTGTCGAAAGGAGTATGAATAATACAAAGCCACCCATTTTTGAGAAAGAATCCTGTCTTTTAGTTTCACAAGTTTTCTGCCATTTCATTGGCTTTGAAGGGTCCTCCAACTATGCCTTTTGCAGGGAAAGCGGTGAATTTTATGTTCCAACCTGATGTTTTTTTTCTGAAATTGGCTTATTGTTGATTCAACAACATGTTTTGTATGTTTCCTCTTGAAATCATAAGGTGTACAGGTGTACAGCTCATCACTTCGACAGTGACCTCACGCTTTTGTGTGACGGAGGTTTCCCGCATTAGTTTACTAGTATTTCATCGACAAATGCTGCCATTGGTTTACTATAAGCTGAGCCTCGAGAGAGGGATGTTGGACGCTTCACCTTGAAGTGACTGGCTGGGTGGTGAATCTTCAGTGTATAATTTCAGGAAGAACCCTCAATTATGTTCGGTCAATAAAATTTTTAGAAAAGATGTATTATGCGGGACCTGTTCAAAAGGTATAGACATAGAAAGTGTAAAGCGATATAGTGATGAGGAAGCGATCCCACCATATCCTGCTCTCTTCGCAGTTGAGCCTAATGTCTATTGCTGTCACTCGAAGGTTTAACGTCGTGTAAAATGTGTATGTCTTCCTTTCCAAGAAGAACTCACAATGTCTTTATTGCTTTACTGTATATTTTACGTAACACGGATGGAGCAACAGAATCATGTCGTACGTTTGGTATTCCATACTAGCAGAAAGTGAGCACGTGCATTACAAGGGTTATCAACTTATTGCCGCGTTATCGTTCTTGTCATAGTACTTCTTCGCCAAGTGCATTATCAAGGTGATTGCCGTTTCAAACAGATCCGGCGTGTCGAAGCAGTTACTGCGTTGGCAGCTGAAAACTTTCCGATACTTTAATTTATAAAAACGAAGCCCATGCGGGCTTGGGACTATAGATAATGTAGGCGACATGAGCGACAGACTACGGGAAAGTGGAACAGCACCGTATATGTCGGAGGGTGTCCCCAAACTTCATACGTCCTTTTGTACGAAATCTTTCGGCTTCAATATCAAGAAGACAGAAGAAGCCACAGCGACTGCATCCGTCTTTGCAAACCACAATTAGAATACTTTTATTATCAAGTCCGATCGCCCGTCGAATCTGGAAAAATTAACGAATTTCATCGGCACCCGGTTAAATACTCTTTATAGGTTCTAATAGCTTTGAATTTTCGCTAATTTGTAATAAAAGGCTATGAGTGAAAGAACCTTCTCGTAGACACCAACGAAATCCTTCGGCGGATCTTTGTCCTCGTTCCATCCGTCAACGAAATACAACTTCATCTTTTTCTTGCCTACGGTGAGATCTCGAACGACATAACCTTCGCCTACAAATTCTTCCTTCACGACAGCATTTCAAACAAAGCAAGTCCTTTGTTTCTAATGAATACAATTTTTGACCTTACTAAAGGAAAAAAATGTTAAAGATTTCTAACATTTTTGTTCTTCTCCACTCGTTACCGTAATCGCTTGCCCTTCATATTTATCCGGCAGGAGAAACCTAATCGGCAGTTAATTGACGCTCGAAAAACCAGATTCAATATGATTAATTCATAAGGATAATCGAAAAATAGAAAGAGTAATGAATTGGATTTGTCGAGAATTTGGCTACCAAAAAAGACTGAGGGTGTTGCCAAACTTCATACGTGCGTCATTTACTGAGTTATCGAACAGATTTTGTAAATGATCAAGCCGAAGACAAAAAGCTTTGACTAAATTCCGGAATGCAGTTCATAATGTCTGATTTGTTTTAACCAAAAGCAGAAGCTTAATCTTCGTACTTCATGTCCGGGCTATCCTGTGAATCCATTATTACTATGGAGTTTGGACGAATCTGGTTAAGCATGCGATAGAAGTCGGTTTGAGTGGCACCATCGAATGGCGCCTGAGCCAGAATATACTGCTCTGAACATATGTGATAAAGCTGGCAAAATCTAGAAAAATTTTGGCTCGGATTTCGTTGTTCTTCGTTAAGAATGCTTTTTCCTTTCCTATACTTCTCTCCAGAACTGTCACAGCATGAAAAAACGTCGTCTGCATACCTGAGTGCAGTGTCGCAAACGATCGCTAAGTATTAAAAACATGATTTACTAAATGGATACAACGACTGCCTGTGAATTCCAGACGAGATATGATCAATGTGGGTAAAAGAATATGCGCAAAACAAAAAAAAATAGTAAAAAGATCAAAAATCGAACAAACGAACGAGGTGTATTGCATCCATCTACGTAGGAGGCGTGGTAGTAGTCCGGATTCTCGTTCAACACCACACGATTCCAATCATAAAGGAACACATCTGGATTAGATTTCTGATGACTTTTAGGCGACTATGGTGCAAATAAAATGCTTATTTAGCACGCAGACCTTTCGGTTTCAAGTTTTTGCCGATGTTTTCCTCCTTAAAAAAGGCGAAGAATGTTGGCGATTCCCTTATGTATTCCATGTGCGCTGCTATAACTCCTTCTCCAAGCTTTTTCGATGTAACTCTTGAAGTAAGCTAAATGACGACAAAAAATGAGAAAGAAATTGCTAGACGATCATTCATAACTTCTTCCCACATGCGCGGTTCTCCTCCACGACTTTGTGTAAGGCTGTTTTCTAATACTTATCTGCATTGCAAAGTTATGGCGCACCCCTTACAAGAGTTTCTTGCCTTTATCTCCTTGAAGAAAGCCTGGTGGTAGTCATATTTTAATAAAACCAAAAAAGGTTTCTTCATAAGGCACTGGGATTTATGGCACTTCATCAACATTTCTATGTACACTACTGATTCAGCCTATGCGGGAAACAGAGAGGTAGATTGAACCCGTAGTTAGATCAGAACATCTAAAATTCAAGAATGGATTATAAAAGGATGGGCTATGACAATGTTCGAAATGAAGCGATGTACGGTAGAGGTTTTCAGGCGTCACTATATTCTTTTTTGGTTGGTATAGGTGCCTGAAATGCCTGTAATAAAAGAGAATGTCCTAGCAAGTGTTCCCCAAAACATAAAAGGATGATTCCGAATCAAAGATGCTGAACTAGTTAGGTGGAAAATTTCTTCTACCCTACACTAGTCCTTTCAAGATGGGCCACCTGTGGTGTTATGTTCCAAAACTGCATTAGAAATAAGCTTGTCTACTGCTGCTCTATTCGTGCAAATCTTGGCTCTAAACATAACTCAATGACGTTAGTGGTATGCGTATTGATTGATTCGCGCCCCTAATCGATAAATATTCCGACAATAACATCGCCGCCTTATCTCCGTCATGCTTTGTGGCAGGCTACACTGGTTGGATCTCTTATAGTTGGTTCAAAGATGGCTGATATATTTCTCACGCTGTCTATAAGTCTCTTTGGTGTTGGTACTTTGCTTTTTGACTTTCGAGTTGACCTCGTCGAAACCCGATTGTTCGTATTTAGAGCGACAGCTCCTTCTTTCGTGGCGAATGAATCCATGGACAATTTCGTTCTGAAAGCAGACAGTTGAAGATGAGTGGCAAGTCAGACTACAGAAGACTCACCGTCAAGTAATGAGTACAAAATAAGAATAATGCTTACTTTTCCATTGATCTTTTTTAAAAACAGCAAGTGAATGATAGTTGATATCTGTTTATCACAAAAACAACCGTTATGGTTTTTCGCAGAGAATATCGAGATGTCGGAAGAAATAACCAGCGCTAACGTAGGCTCATTTATCACTTGCCCACAGGGGCATCCACTTTTCCCCCATGAAAGGCCATTTCGTAGATTCGACTTTGGTTGAATCACATTCCACGAGGGACGATTATACCATCCTCGCCACCTAACCTCTGATTTGAAATACGTGAAAGCTTTATGAATACAGAAAGTTTTTTAGTTTTTTTTGCTTGTACAGTGAAATAACGCTGACCCTTAGTTGCCTGTTACAATCTGGCAGATTTCTAAAGAGGAGAGGTATTGTAGACTTTAAATTCCTTCCAGTTACATCAGCAACTACAATATAAGAAAACAATGTTAATGTGAAGAGGAGAAGGTCATTCCCCAACAGCTTCACTCAAGTTAAGCAAGAGCCCAATATTTTACCTCGAAAGTCCAACTGGGAGTTAATCTATAATGAAAAGCACAGTCGTCCTAGAAGGAACTTCGTAGAAAAGTGGTAAGCGTGCTGTCGATAGCTACTTGATTAATAAAGAAAAACGCTAAAACAGTCTCCTCTGATCCCAATAGTCCATGCTTTCGTTAAGAAAGTAAGGCAGAAAAACGTTAACACTATCTTGCATGAGACCAAAAACAGGAGAACCGTGGTGTATTAGATAAAAGAGGGCTTGAGAAATACCGGAGCCTTCTGTTCTAACGCTCTCTTACCCTTTTCTTCTGTATTTAATCCTATCCCAGTACTCAAATTCATTCATGTTTCGCATTCACGAACATAGAGAGATGTTTTCTCATCGATTCGTTTCCTTCGCACTCATCGTCCACAATGGACTCCAAACACTTAGCGTCTCGTTTCGGCTGCTGTTTGAGGTTTGATCTCGCCTTCTTTGTGAAGTTCGTAGAATGCTGGTCGAGTCGGTTTTCTTTGAAATCTTGGAAACAGCCGGACTAAGGTGTTCCCGCACGGAATAGAAGAGGGCGTTGGGGTGGGGATCGAACCAGCACCTTTACTTCTTGATCGACAGTATCACTAACTACTGCGCCTACGCCCTCTTTTTGATAGATGCTTATGTGACCCATCTTCACATATTCTATGGGACCTAGCACACTTTCCAGTCGTCCTACGTCAAGCTGTTACGCGGTTTCGGCTGTGACTTCAAACTGTTATCTTCTCTAACCAACATTTTGAATGTTGGGAGAATATGATTATCTTTGGAAGCACGGTATCTGAGCTAGGGCGCCCACTGTCGTCACAGACAGTTGGATCGGACAGAGATTCGTATTTAGGGAGCCAGAGATCCCTGTAAACGGCAGCAAATAGTGCGATTAGCCCAACGACCGCTCGAGGACGAGAACAGTGTAACAATTCAAGTTTCCCTTCCTGTATGGAAAAATTATAAATACTGCCGACACCCGATCAACTGTCTGAGAAGCTACTGTGGTAGAATTCAATGCATTCTAAGAACAATTAGATTAGGTGAATTGCAACGAAATGTCAAAACTTTTTTGTAGAAAACTTGAGCTCCGGAATACAAATAAATAGTAGAAAAGAGCGGAAAATTTGAAAAACAGACCGAAATGAGGACAGTAGAAACCATGTTATTGACTTCCTTAAATTTTCATGGAAACTCAATTCCTGGAAGTGAAGCACATCGTCAGAGGACATGCACGAGGGCCCGATCAGTATGGTGACCATCCATATTCTCATAAACAGAATACGTTAAACTTTTGAGGATTCTGTATTACCATCCCCTCAGATAAGACCATTACTTCCTCCATTTGCTCATTCAGTCAAGCGCTAAGCTGAAAGAGAACACATTCTGTTATCTTGCGGATGGGAAACAAAAGGTCTGTGTGAAGATAACACTTTACCGGAATACTTTCCTTTTATAACTGAGATTTCAAAACTATAGGACCGATAGCTGCGAGCAGTACGTCAAAAGACCGTAAAATTATAAAGAATACGCGTCAGTGAATACAATAGAATATTTGGACGCTTTGTTCATCACCAAAAGGAAGCTGCCCAAGGGAGGAGAAAACTGAAACTGAACATTGCTCTATTGGTAACAGAAGACAACTGTGTAAAAAAGGCCCGAAAAATAAACGTGAAATATGTCGTTATCACCCATATTTAGTAACAGAATCTCCATAACCGGCCGTTATGGCATGCAGTTCATAACAGAAATGCTTTACTCCAATCCTACGTTTTCCGCAAACCTGGTTTCTTCACATGGCACTGTTTCCAGTTGGAAGCCATTAAGTACAGGCACTTTTCCGATCCTCTATAGCCTCATATTTTCTTTAAAAAAGATCCTCGTCTTTTTAACAACTGCGCCATTTGTTTGTTAAGTGGGCTGTACAATCTTAACGCTAAGACTATCCTATCTCGCGCACTAAAAACTTCGGAAGCAGCAACCAGTTAGGTTCGGCAAGCAGTAAACCGACAGGAATACTGATGTTGACATCATACCGAAGACGTAACTAGAACTTCAGAAGTTTGTTGACAATACCACTTGCTCCTTATTCTAACCCTTTTCGATGAGAAAGGAGCTACTATAGCTCAGAAGCGGAAGTCACTAGTGTTTATCAACGAAGGAGTGGACTGGTCCTACATTAAGATTCTAACCGTCTATTATCGCAATAACATCACTAGATTACAGTCCTTCCATCCACTCATTGCCACCTGCTTTAGAAAAGAAGTGTGTAAAAGTCACACTATTTCGCTAGAGCGAAAGCAGCATAAAGTTAAAGTTACTTTCTTCTGAAACCTTTGATTGACCGTGACGCAGTCCAGAAGTGCTCACAGAGGCACAAGAAGTTCAAAAAAGTGGAAAAAGCATTCAGGTGCCATGAAGCCGGAAGGAAATTCAATTCGTGTAAAGGTCAATCAAATGCAATAGGGACGAAAGGTGCTTGCGGCAAGGTAATACAACTGCTAAGTTCTCCTGCGAACACCTCGAAGAAATCACTGACCAACTGATGGGTCAGGCAGCTGAGAAGTGGGTTGACATCTAGAGCAGAGTGGCAGCTTTACGTTACACCTTTAGAAAAACTAAGCGGTATTTTATGAGTTGTGATTGCCGCACACAACAACAAGTTGAATTAAACAGTTCAGATGTTCGAAAACATGTCATTTTCGAGAGACAAGTGTTTCCGTATCGCAAGAGAAGCATGCACCAACTGGTGAAGTGGCTGAGAAGAATAAATGAGGAGACGGTGCTCAGATTCCCAAGGGTAATACTATTACTCTACAGGGTTAGTTAGAAGGTGGAAAACTACTAATTATGCACGTATTTGTAGCTCACCCTGTATTTCAGGCCGAAGACGACTTACGAATGACCGAATGGCACGTCGAGATGTAAGCAAGCATGAAAGAGACGAGCACCTTTGATGCTGATCAAGACAGAACTAGGATACAAACTCGTGTATAATGCTGAGATATTTGCAAAACTCCGGACCGCAGGTGTATGCGGTGG